ATATAATTTGAAATTCCTATTTATTTACATTTATTTTATGTATATGAGTGTATTCCCTGCATGTGAGTACACCGTAGGGGTGTAAGGCAAATGGAGGCCAGAAGAGGGTATCAGATCCCCTGAACTGGACAGTTAACAGACAATTATTAGACACCATGTGGGTGCTGGGAACTGAACCCAAGTCCTCTGTGCATGAGCAGCCAGTGCTCTTAGCTGCTAAGCTATCTCTAAAGCCCCTAATCTAACATTTTAAAAAGAAACATTATTTTCAATGACACCATAAGTCTATCCAAAGAATATATTTATTTGCCCTTTTTTCTATTGTTTGCCAGTTATGTTGTTTTAAACTTCTTACTGTTGTGAAGAATAGTGACTACAAGTATTGATATATAACTGGCTAATCAAAACGTAGAAAATGCTGGGTATTTTGATACATATTTTATGGGTGGTTCAAGAGTTTGTGCTCTAGTGTGTAGCAAGGGAATGGGAACTATGATGCTAACAAATGATTTAGACATGGCACGCGCATTTGCAGGCTTTACAGAAGATGTTGGAGGCTTATGTTAGCTAACATGTGTTTGATGACTCGCGCAGGTGACATTGATTTTTTGTGTGTTTGTTTTCGTTTATAACATTATATTATGGCGAACAATGCAACATCTTTAAGTTCTCTCAGTTTCCTATTAAATTCTTTACTGTTTTGCTATTGGGCATAATTTTTATATTGATGAGACCTCTCTTCATTTTTAAAGTGATAAGGTTACAGCTTTATCAGCTGTTAACGGCATACATCCAATTCTTCACTTGTCTTTTTTTCTTTTTTTTGTCTTTCTTGAGACAGGGTCTCCTTGTAGCCCCAGCTGTCCTGGAACTCACTATGTAGACCAGGCTGGCCTTGAACTCACAAAGATCTGCCTGCCTCTGCCTCCCAAGTGCTGGAATTAAAGGCGTGCACCACCACGCCTGGCTATTTGTCTATTTTTTAATGTACAAAAAGTAACCAAAGTTATGTTTATTAATTGCTTTTAATATTTTAGTTAGGCTTTCACTAACCTGATACACTAGATTCACTGATTTTTTTTTTCTCCCATGTGAAATTTTTTCTGGTATAAAATGTTTTTTAATATTTTATTTATTATTTTTATCTTATGTGTATGTGTGCACTGCCTGCATGTATGTAAGTGCAGCTGTGTGCACTTACCCGCAGAGGACTGAAGAGTAAGTCAGATCCCCTGGAACTGGAGCTACCATGTGGGTGCTGGGATCCAAACCTGGGTCTTCTGCAAAAGCAGCCAGTGCGCTTAAATGCTGAGCCATCTCTCCAGCCCCCTGATATAAAATTTAAGTGAAACCGTTTTGGGCTTTTTTGTTGTTGACTTAGAATTATTTTTTCAGTTTTGTTTAATGACTATTCTTTTTGACCTCCCTATTGAGTTGGACTATCAACTTTATAATGTACTGCAATCTTATCATAATTAGCCTCTGCCTTTACATGATCTGCAGTACCTAGTACTTTTTATGTTGTTGTAACTTTATAACTGTTTGCCTTACCTGCTTACTGTTTCATTTTGTTTCCACATTTTACTTGAAGATTATTGCCTATTGATTCTTTAAATTTTTTTTAGATTTATTTATTTTTATTTTATGTGTATGAGTATTTTGCCTGCATGTATGTAAGTGCACCTATATCCTGCAGTGTCCACAGAGGCCAGAATAGAGCATCAGATCCCCTGCAACTGGAGTTACAGATGGTTGTTAGCTGCCATGTGGGTGCTAGGAATTGAACCCGGGTCCTCTGCAAGAGCAGCCAATGCTCTTAACCACTGAGCCATCTATCTAGCCCCTGCCTATTGATTCTTATAAATGAATTTTGGAATTAATTTTTACAATCATAAAATCACCCCACAGAGGTTTTGACTGTATCTGTAGGGACTGTTATTTAACTTCATAAGGTTTAGCAACTTTTATAACATTACAGCCAGACTTGCGACACTCCTACATACATGAAGTCGATGCTTTGGTTCTTCATTAAAATTTTTTAGTTTTCGTATAAGAAATTTACATTTTAAAAAAGTATTATTTTTTGTTTGCTTAGAAAATGAATGCCCCCCCAACACTGTTTTCTTAATGCCTAGTTTTGGGTTAACAGAACTATTTATGCTCTAATATTTATTTATTTAGCTATTTTATTTAAATACTGCTAATTTTTATTACTGATTTCTCATTTGACTTCCCAAATTTTCTTAATAATAAAATTATATTAAGATCACATGATGATGATTTTTATTTTATATTCTGATATTTATGTTTTATTGCATTGGCTTAGAATCACAGAATAAATGTTCTTAACAGAAAACTTCGCACTCATGAGTGAAAAGAAGGAACACTCGGATTTTGTATCTTACCTACTTCCTATATTTGCTGATATATTGCATTTAAAAATTTTTATTTTTCTGTGCAAATTTATTTTTAATTTTCTATTCACTTCTTTACAATCATTTTATATCAATTATTTCATGTTATAGTAGTTATAATGGCTAAATTATTAATTTTGTGTACAACTTCCTAATAGTCAAGAAATTTGATTCATTTCATTAGAAAATTATTACATTTATTATGCATTGGGGTTTGTGTGTGTGTGTGTGTGTGCACGCATGCATGCACGTGCATGCATGTGTGCATGTGTGTGTGTGAACATGAATACTATGGAATGCCAGTGAATGGAGAAAGGTCATCTTGCACGAGTTGTCTCTCTCCATCATGAAGATCCCAGTGATTGAACTCAAGACATCAGATTTGGTGGAGGTGCCTTTACTTTCTGAGAAACCTCACTGACCCCTTGATTCATTTCTTAATAATCTTTAATATATGTGGATTATAGATTCATTTTCTGAGCTTTGTATATATGTCTATTGTTTGTTTAATTTAATTATAAATAATGTGACCAGAAACGCAATTGTTTGCTAAAATATTTTCCCCTAACAGCTTCTGCTCTGTTTTCTTTGAAATTCAGTGTTAGAGAAAACAAATGAAAATATAACTATATTTTCCCTCTAAACCTGGAATCCATATATTTCAGCTGTCTAAAATATGTCATTTTCATTAATTTTGTCATTTTAATTTTGTCATCTATATATTTCAGCTTGCTTAAATATGTCATTTTCATTAATTTTATCTTGTCTAAGTTGGCTTAGTTAACTGAAGAAATGATCTTTATTTGACAGGAACACTTTCTACTACTACTACTACTACTACTACTACTACTACTACTACTACTTTTTTGTTGTTGTTGTTTGGTCTTTTTGAGGCAGGGTCTCCCTGTAATTCCAGCTGGATTGGAACTCAATGTGTAAACCAGACTGGCCTTGAACTCACAAAGATTTGCCTGCCTCTGCTGGGACTAAAGGCATGCATCACCATGCCTGGCTCTATTACTATTAAGTAATGGCTTAGAATTGAGTCATTCCAGCTTCTTTCTCTATAGTAGCAATACAGGTGTGTACGCTCGACTTCTGCTATCTTGGTGTTCCAGATGCTTAATTTTGTAATTTCATCTCTTGACCTTTCTCAATAGCTTAAGAATTTCTGTACCTAGTTCTCTCCAATTCTGATTTGATTTTGCGAACTACCAAGTCTTAAGCCTTCTCTCCTTTTATTCAGTTCTTTTTGTCCCAATTTAAAATTCTGTTTCTACTCTTACTAGTGTCTGGGCTTGGTATGATATTTAGGCTCTCTGTTCTCTATTTTTTCATCAATGAAAGGGGAATAATAACCATTTTTTGTAGAATGAAATTAGATCATCCATGAGAACTTTTAGAAAAGTAGGAATGCATCCATTCATTTTAGCTATTATCACCATCACCATCATCACAACACCATCATCACCATCATCATCACCATCACCATCACAATCACCATCTTCTTTATCATCATCATCCCTCTCTACCTTTCACCAATAATCCTTTAGGCTGTTATCATCTCATTTTCTATGCATGTCTATAGAATTCAAGTTATTTAGTTGGGGAGAGCACAACTCAAATGTACTACTGTCTATCTTTATAAAAATTTCTCTCTTAAATATAATGTAACTTTTTATGTTGTAAAATATTTTATAAACTCTTATTATTGTTACTGGTGATTTTTCTATTTATGCCTCATTGTGCAGAGAGGTCTTTTGGTGGCAATATGGTCTCTGACCTTTATTAGTTCTAGTGACACATTGTTCACATACATGTATTTTTATGAGTATTTCAAGGGAAACAAAGAAATTGAAATAGGCCTTGGAGGTAGTTTTAAATTTTTATCAATTAAAATACTTTATAATGATAATATTATAAAACCATAAGAGTCTTAAAGTTTTTATTTTGTGAGTAGGAAGAGTTTCATAGTAGATACCAGACTTTCCTGAGTACCACACAGAGGTTAGAGTGGGACTCCTCACCCTTTAGATTTCTAGCTCCTTGATCATTAAGAAAAAAATTCAAACCTATTTTGTGGTGCCTGGATTCTTAAGCCAGGGTTTATTATATTTAGAAGTTTCTTAAACAAGATGCCATCATTTGTGGAAAAACACAGATCTATAAGGAAATTTTACCAAAGAACACAAAGTTCCTCTTCATAAGCAATTCAAGCAGACTTTATATACCTGTCTTTCACACCTATTTCTAACAATTATAAGTGAATAAGTACTTAAATAGGGATATAGTTCTTCTCTTAGAAGCTACATCTCTTAGGGATTAAAGATGTGTTCAGTTGGTAGAGTGCTTGCCTAGCATGTATGAGGCCCTATGATCAATCCACAATGCTACATAAAGTTGGATTGGTGGTAGGTGCCTGTAATCCCAGCACTGAAGAGGTAGATGTGAGATTGGGAAGTTCAAAGCCATCTTCAGCCATATAGTGAGTTTGAGGTCAAACTGTGTTATATGAGACCCTGTATGGTTTTAATGATTATATTGAGACATCTGTCACTGAAATATGACTGTTCCTTTGTTTTTCAGTTGCTGGATGTGTGCTCCACTCGTCTGAAAATGACTCACCCAGCTAAATCCCTGTATACCTCAAATGGAGAGCTCATGAGATGTGGTTATCTGTGTGTCTGGAGGACATGGCTTTATAACCCAAAAAGGTATGGGTGACACTTTATCGTCCATGAAGATTTTGAAGAGTTTAAAGCATCCAGTCATTCTTACAAAATCCTTGCTTACTGAACTTTGTATACTGCCTGATGATTTTTTCATTTTCACTTTTTAAAGTTTTATTTATTTGAATTTCATGTGTATGAATGTTTTGACTATATATATGTAAGCGCACACCATGCATGCAGTACTTGTGGAGGCCAGAAGAGGGCATTGAATTCCTTGGAACTGGAGTTACATATAGTTGTTAGCGGCAATGTGGGTGCTGAGAACCAAACCTGAGTCTTCTGCAAGAACAGCAAATGCTTTTAACCACCGAGTCATTTCTCCAGTCCCATGCATGATGACTTTTAATGATTAAGTTCATCATGATATTCTATGCCAGGTTATGAAAGTGAAATTTTTATTTGTGTGTGCTAGATTATCATTGTTAACACTCTTTTCTCTAAAGAACTCAACCAAGTTTCAGTGAGTCTTGGGTCTCACCTTGGCCTACTTACAGAAGTTCTGAGGACTTCATTTGATGCCATTCCCTTTCTTAGGAACCTTGAGAAAAGTGAGATTCTATTGTCTTCTTACTATTCAAATTATTTAAAACAATGCTTTATTAATGGTATATACCTTGCAAATTTCCTTTCTGTTGCAATAAGTATTTGAAAGATTTATTATATTCTATTTCCTGATTATTTTCTCTGATAGGTCATAGATATGGAAAGAGAATTTATTTACTACAGAGTGAACACTAGTCTTTTCTTCTATTTATCTTGGGAACTTAAAGTCCTTTTCTCTAGGAAGACAGACACTGGCAAAATATGATTTTCAGAAAATTCTAAAAGATGTTATATTTATATTAGGGAAATTTTAAAAAATTAGGAAGAAAATTTCCTGGTATCCCTCTGATAAAAATACTTGAGATTTTTCTTCTAAAAATGTGCCATAAAATTATTTTTATGTTATATGTAAGGTGAATACATCAAAAACTTTTAAGACACTTGGAGGTATACCTTTGCATTTAGTCCAGAGGACACAAAAGTATAGAAATGCTAGCAAAAAACATTGGGAAGATGTGGATTTATTGGGATGCCTAGCACTGTTTGGAGGATGGCACAAAGCTTCCCCCAGCACCATCGTGCGCTTTTCTTATTGCTGTGACCAAACAACAGGCAAGAAGCATCTAAGTGAAGGGTTGTTTTTGCTCAATGTTTGAAAGCATAGTCCATCATGGCAGAGAAAGCACGGCAGCAAGAGGACATTGACTATGTCCACAGCCAGGAAGCTGCGGCAAGGGGACACTGCTGTCTACGTCTGCAGCAGGAGGCAGTGGCAAGGAAACACTGCGGAGTGTGTCTGCTGTCAGGAAGCAGAGAGCGATGAATGCTGGCTCGGCTACATTCTCCTTTTTATGCAGTCCAGAACTCCAACCCATGGCATGGTGCTGCCCACATTTAGAGTGTGTTTTCCCACCTCATTTGGTCCAGTATAGAAACTCTCTCACAGACAGGCCCAGAGGTTTGTCTCCTAGGTGGTTCTAGATCCTGTCGAGTTAGTCATCAGTATTAACCATTACAATGAGCACAGTCCAAATGATTGTCTTTAATGGAAAAAAGTAAGCATATTGCCTCGTCGCAGGAGGCTCTTCTGCTATCCCCTCCCTGCTCATGTTCAGTCTTTCATATTATTGGAATGAGCTTCTGTTGCTGTATGCGACCCTCCTTGCCTCATTAGATCTGTCTGACAAATAAAGCTAAATATGCTTCAGGCAAGCTAGGCAAAGGGTATTCAAACCACAAAGAAAAAATCCAGGCTGCCTCCCAGGAACAAGCCTGTCACCAATAAAAACTGTGAAGGCAACTGAGAAAATTGGAAATTCAAGTATTACTCTCTTTATCACTTTTCTCTGTGCTAACTTTGTGAAGTTTTGACAAACATTCATTTTCTCATCTTCAGTTTGGTAAGCACACACATTACTATGAAGTCAAGGCTGATTCCTGTCCATTGGAAAAAAACTCTCCCTATTACCTTCATAGTGAAAGATTAGTGGTTTTCTGAAGTTGCCTCAATTCTTTCCAGTGAGTCATGTCTAGTCTAGGAAATATGATTATTCACAGAATCTAATTTTTTATTCTTTAGAATCTTATTTCAATATTGTTGTTTTATTTTTTTCATGAAATAAAGTTAGAAATGATTATTTACTTAGCAGAAATCTAAATTTTCCATATGTTTTAAAAAGTAAAAGAAACACTTTTGCATGCATTTATTCTTTTATATTCCTTTAACTAATTAATCATTCCACAAATGTTTCCTATATGACCTACTAAACTATGTAGCAAGAAAATAAGGCAGCCTAAGATTTGTAAAACAAGATAATGATTTATTTTATATACAATCATAAAAATCATTCAGCTGGCAGAAGTTAGTCATCAAAGAATTACACCGATTTATTTTGAAAATTAATTTCTTTCAGCAAAACAAACTAGATGCTGTTAGACTGCTATCCTTCACCCAAATCCTCAACAAATTTAAGATTGTTTTATATATTGTTTGCTGTGGTACTGAATGCTAGTCTTACTGCTTCCATATTTATCATTTCAGTGGGTCCAATTTTTTAGAGCCCAATATAAAACACCTGGATGTTAGCCCTCCCTAGTAGCTTCTATTGTATAGAAATCCAAAGAGTATTAACATATACCTGATGTGATGAGCAAGTCAGGTGCTTAATGAGAGTCCAGAGTGGGGGCCAAGGATTTCTAAGGGGTCTTCAAGGTTCTCATCATCCTAGTCTTTAATTATTTTCTGTGAATACATTGATTTATCTTTGGGAAGGAAAAAAAAAAAAAAAACAACCAAGAATTTTTTTCTTAACAGAGCAAAAACAACTGATAGAAGTCAGAGCAAATTATGCCAGAATCCGAAGACAACAGGGCCCTCAAGCAACGGACATTGTGGTGTCGCCATGCATGAAGCTGTCCTCTGGTATACCTGCATAACTAATTTCAACCAGAACCACCTATTTCGTGCTTTATTTTACTAATACAGCTAGGTGTACATTCTTATACGCTGGCTAGAACGCGGTCATTCTTTATCCCTTTTAAATTGTACAGTCTCTGTCATGTCCCTCATAGTGTTGAAAATGGAACCTATTAATTGAACATGTCAGTTGAACAGTTTACCCCTGTGCTGCACCCCAAGCTCCCTCACAGTTCTTTTAAAGGTTATGTTTTCCACACTTTATGTAAAGTAGCATTTGATGCCTCAAATCTGTTCCTGGAAAGGCAACAAAACCAGAAAAAAAAAGTCAGTGAAATAATCTTCATAAGTGAACTTTCTTCTAGAAAAAAATGTAGAAACTACTAATTGTTATTGAAAGGCAATTTAGCAGGACCAAGTAACATATGTGTGTGTGACAGATATGGCACTGATAATAAAGTGGACTCTTTGGGCACCTAACCCTAAACTTGACTCCAACTGACATTTTCTGGCCCAGTCACTCTATTTTTCAAGCTTCTTTTAAAATCTCACATATACCAGATGACATTGAAATGGCTGGTGGCTACTGAGTACCAAAGGAATCCATCTTTCCTTCTCCAATTTCTCTTCAGTTTTGCAGACCTCTCTTGGGGCACAGTTAGACATCACTCATGAAAGTGAAGCTGGATAATTTTGATAAATAGTAATAAGAAAATATAGGCTATGCTCTCAATACCCAAACAGAGAAAGGATATATATGCATTATTGGAAAGAAAATGAGAGAGAGAGAGAGAGAGAGAGAGAGAGAGAGAGAGAGAGAGATTGAGGACTGGGAGATGGGCAATGGCTAGGAGTGTTCTCTGCATAAGCATGTGTGCCTGAGTTTGAATCCACAGCACTCAAGTAAAAAGTCAGGTGTGGCTGTGTGAACCTGTAACCCAGCTTTGAGAGAATGGATCCTGGCATGTGTGGGATGGGTGAGAGACATCTGAGACAGGAAAGGAGGATGGTGGGGGCTTGCTGGCAGCCAGTTGAAGAAGAGCAAGTTCCATTTTCAATGAGAGACCCCATCTCAAAGGGATAAGGCAGAAAGAGACAGAGCAAGACACTTCATATATCATCTTCTGGCCTCTGTGTGTGCTTGTCCACACACATGCTTACACACACACACACACACACACACACACACATACACATGGATTCTTAAAAGTCTTACATGTCAGTCCTACAGTACAATAAAAATGTACCAGTTAGTTTCTTCCTGAGGAAAAGAAAGAGCCATTTAAAAAGCAGATAGCAGTGACAGGTCAGAGTCTGGCTCTGTCACTGGTGGAATATTCCAGAGAAATGCTTTCCTCCCTGTCTTCCTCTGAAAGCCAATCACCCTTCTGCCTGAGTATAAATTGCAGACTGGCTAGGTGTGTACAGAATGGCTCAGCTGGGCTTGCTCCTCAATCCTCCACTTTAATGTGATGCAGGAAGGCAATATATCATTTCTATTGAAGGGGGCTCATGGTAATCACTGCCAAAGGCCTGGTATTTACTCCCAGTCTGCAAATCAGTGGGGCAGCATGAATAAATTACTGCTGTCTCAGATGCCACTAAAAAGCAAAGCCTAAGGAGGTGAAATCTCAATGCTAGATGAACAACAGTTTCCCTTTTCCAGACATTTTATCGTGTGATGTTAGAAATGTGAGGGCAGCTTTGAGCTGCAGAGGAGACAAATACTGTAGGACACCCTTATTTTGTTTTTCCTTTTCTTTTTCTTTTGTTAACAAATCTGAAAGGAAGCAGGAGAGGTTAGGAACTTGCCTGTGTTGGAAAGTGAGCTATCAGGACCCATGTTAGCTGGGCCTTTCCTTGCAATGACTTGGTCACAATTTCCATAAAGAGATCTTTTTCTTTTCTTTCTTTCCCTTCCTTCCTTCCTTCCTTCCTTCCTTCCTTCCTTCCTTCCTTCCTTCCTTTTTTCAAAATTGTTTGAAAACAAAAGCCTTTCTCTAGGTGCAAAAACATCTATCTTTTACTGCCAGGGAAAAGTTGGTTTGCTATGAAAATGGCATAATTCACCCTAGATCAAATGTGCAAATTCTTGTGAAGTCTTTGCTGTTGCTTGTGAACACGCCTGAAGCGAAAATTGATAATATCACACGATGCCATATTCAGCACCAGGAGACATAAGGCAAAAGTCTTAAGTGAACTTTTCTATTACTAGTAAATGGGATTTTAGATGTAATGTAACAGTCATCAACACATCACATTTTACCAGCAAGGCAGCAACACTTACGCTGTAGGTGACAGCTTGCCAGGGATATCTCCATAGTTTTATAGCCATTTCCAACTTAAACTAAAACAACCTTGAGTCTTTCCTTATGATTAGCCTTCCTCCTTGGTTGGTTGGAGTTGGACACGGGAGCAGTTACTCCATCTTAGTCAGGACTATAGGATAAGGCTATTTCAGTTCTGTTGAGCCTTCCTAAGCTTTTAATAAACTCAGTAATTTCCTCTGGGGGTAAGTTTATCAAATTTGAATCAGCCTCATACATATAAGTCAGAGTTCAATATTTTTCTATCAACTGAAAACCATTTATTATTAAATACTAAGGCAACACCCTGAAGTCCATAGCCTTCTCCAGAAAGTTATTTCCTGCTGCTTCACAAACACTTTTAAGGTGATCCAGATGTTAATCACCAGCAATCCCCTAGAAGACTGGGAGTTTCTGCCCACCTCTGGCTTTTGTTGCCTGGTTAAGTGTTTGGGTGAAGTTGTATATTTCTAAGCAAGCTAACAAAATCTAATGTACTTAAACATTTGACATATGTGTTGAGATGAAATGACTGCATTTATAACTAAATATTTTACCCAAGTGCCTCCATCAGCTTTGGAAAACAGGACTCCGTGATGATTCAAATTGCCAACATATTACTTAGGGCAGTAACACTGAATTTCCATCTTGAATGATAGCCCAGGTGTGCTGAAGTCACTGAGAGATTTGTGATTCTCCAATGCAATTCCGGAGAAGGGATCATCATTTGGAAGAGAGTGATCAAAGTATACACATCTGTATTATTCTAGGTGATAACAAATTCAGATGTAAATGCTCTGAATTTGGAACACTGGACAGCGATTCTCAGTTATTTCCATTAAACCAATGACCCCAGTTTCCTTCTGGTTCTGAGCACACTTTGCTCCCTGCAAGGCTAGGTAAGCAGAAATAAAGAGCAACAGTTTTTGTCTCAACACAAAAGACTGGGATTCTGCTTATGTGGTGGGGTTTGGAGCTGCAAGGCCATAAGCAACAATGGAGTGAGATCTCTGTAGCCCACTCAGATGAATACTGCCAGAAGCCAATAGACCTACCAAGTAGCAGCAGCTATTCCACAGTCTCCCTCTAGAAAGCCGTAATATTGTTTAATTCTGCAAGGCTGTAATATGAAAGTACTAGCTATAGGCTGTCACACTGTACTACACATGCACGTAGACATATATGAGAAGAGAGGCTGTGCTTATGCCCATGATGCAACTGAGTTGGAGAGAGGAAGAGTAAAGGCCAGACATTATATTTATAGGACACATTGAATGGTGATTCTGAATTTATTATTTTATTTTCTATGTATGAGTGCTCTGTATGCTTGTATGTATATGTACCACATTCATACAGTACCTGTGGAGGCCAGAAGAGGGAATCAGATCTCCAGAAACTAGAGTTACAGACAGTTGTTAGCCACCATGTAGGTGCTGGGAACAAAACCCAGGTCCTCTACAAGAGCAGCCAGTGCCCTTAACCACTGAGCCATCTCTCCAGACCCTTATTCTGAATTGATACAGTCCACAAAAGACTAGAATCTGAAGGGTTCCAGGATACTGGCAGCTTAGGGGTAGATAAAAGATCTAGTCAAATTACAGGCCTGTTATACCCCAGCTTCTAAGTTATAGAGCAGAGGTACCAACTTAAAAACTGACTTTAGAACTTTAGCCTAGGCATGGATGATCAGGAATACCAGTGCTGTTAGCACACCTGGCTGGATCTTCAAGGCCTCCCCTGGCAGCTGCATTTGAAAAGAAACTGAGGGAAGGAATCTCCCAGGTTAGTGTGAGACTTAAGTCACATCTGTTTTCATTTCCAGGATTCCACCCTCTGGCCCCTGCAATTCCCCATCCCAGCCCTTGCCTTTAATCTTTTCTCCTCTAAGAAACTTTAAGTCTCATCTTTTATGAAAAAAAAAATTAATCTAGGTTAAAGACATGGATCAGTCAGTAAACAGCTTGCCTGCAAACTGGGAGGACCTGAGTTCAATCCCTAGCACTCAGGTAAAAAAGGGCGTGGTGGTGCTCTTGTAATCCCAGTGCTGGGGACCTGGAGACAGGTAGCTCTTTGGGGCTTGCTGGCCAGCCAGCCAAGCCTATTTAGCTATTGAGAGACCCTGTCTCCAAATCAGGTGGACAGATTTAAGCAGCAACCACAATTGTCCTCTAGCTCATACACACATGTAATTGTGCACACAAAATAAAATAGATAAAAGCCTTTCATAGAACAACTTACAAGTCAGCAAGGAATACTTGCCTAACAGGATTCTCAAATTTTAGTGTGCACAGGAAGTACCTGGGAAGCCTGAGAAAATACAGACACCTAGGCCTCATCAGAAATAATGATGATCTGTGTGCCTGAGTGGGCCATTTTGTCCAGCACCTAGGAAAAAGTCTGGGGAGGAATCACAGTTGGAGAAACTTCAGCAGGAGGTCAGGGTTTATCAAGGAGAATGTTGTTTACTATCAGCTTGGTTTGGCCCAAGCTGGAAGTTCCACCTTGGAGAATGCTGTCCTCTCTATGCTGGACCTTTTGCTCTTTGAGGGACTGGCCCTAACTATCCTTGTGCTTGTTCATCACCATTTTCTAAAGAAATGATGGGAAGGTTCTTTTCATTTTTATTTATTTATTTATCAAAGCAAGGTCTCTTACTATGACTTAGGCTGGCCTGGAACTCATTATATAGCCCAGGATGCCCTCAAACTCATGGT